TAATTTAAATAGTCAGACAATGCTGCACATCTGTAACTGGTGAATGACTGTGAGACCATCATGAGCACACTGGGAATTTAACACCACTCCAGGTGCCACCTGGATACATACACATGTCATATTTCTTACCTTAAGAATGACAGAAATTCTGCAAAATAGTGAAATTGTGACAAGAAATTGGAAAGTACCGAAAAAACGTTCTGTTTCCTAGACAAGACTTTGAAGTGGATTGCAAAAATTACTAAGGCATTCAGATATTACTCTCATTATAGCTGCATTATGTATGTATTTATATAATTTATACAGCTGTCAGTGAGGCTAACCTTTCATCAGAGATCCTTCCCTGTGTTCTAGCCCTCTAAATTCATTGATTCTTCTTGATTTTGCCCTGGAAACACAGATGAATGTCATACAGTGGGACACTGCAGACCCCAGCTAATGCCACTAAGGCACAAAGATCCCGGGAGATTGGCTTTCAAAACACCAGCCACAGGTTTGCTAACCCCCAGGGCTGGTATTTCTAGTGCCCAGTGCACCAGAATTAAAAGCTGTCATTTTTCCCTTGATCATGAGACTGAAAATGGCAACCATAAAATCTGTGGGGGTTCATTTATCTCTCCCTTCACCAAGCTCCAGCCATCTGTCCTGCAAATGATTGTAAAATCTATACAGATAAACTTGTGTGTAGATATATGTGGGGATATAGAAATATGTGGGAACATAGAAATAATATAGGAATGTAGAAATATGCGAGAATATAGAAATACAGGTCTATATTTCTTGACACAGTATTCTTATAGACACAAAGATAAAATTATCTCTGGGCAAAGAAAGTCAGGACAGGGGCAAAAATCTTCCCTGAATTCCAGAATCAGAGAGAGCTCCACCCTCTCTGCCTGTCCATGATAGCAAGAAGATGAATTGTTTAGGTAGGATCCACAAGGCTTTGCCAGGAGCCTGAGCTTTGCTGGGAAACTCTGCCATTGGGCTGGGCAGTAAATGCTGACTCTTTCAGGGTTTCCACTCTTTTGGGCTGGAATAAATTTTGGGAAGTGTCTGACAAGGCTGTGCTCTTGGCTGTGCTGAGATGATCCAGGGAAGGCAGACGGGAAGAGTTAATGTAGGAAATTAATTTAATGACATCCTAGTCCATGAGGTTAGTGAGACTTGTGTGCCACAGGATGAAGTCTGTAGAGGTAGGATTGCCCACTCTGATTTATGAGGACCTCTCTCCCCCTCAGGGACCCTCACTGCTGGCCAGGTTGTGCACTGGACTTCAGGTTAGGCAGAAAATTCCGGTGACAACATCCTGCTGGAGACTTCAGGGACACCAAAAGTGTCAAGTGTCAAGGGGATAAGGAACAGTCTAGACCCAACACAGGGAAACTATTCCCTGATTAAGTTAAATGGAAAGCTGTGAAAGCTTCTTGGTCAGATCTGGAGGTCAGGAAAGACCTCCAAGGGAAATGCTGGAGGGAAATGGGAGCTGTAACAAATCTCCTTGGCTCAGAAGAAGTGCACAGGAGGATGAGGGATTCCACAGCTTACCTGTAACCTGCTGTGAAAAAGGTGAAATTGAGGTGAAAGCTCAAGGTCAACAGCAAATTGGGTGTTTTATGGAAATGGTTCCAAGCAATAGTGAATCCTTAGGATTCACTTTGTCTCCACCACATTACAGTGCTGCTTCGGGGGAAGGTTTTTACAAAAAACCTACAAAACTGTTTGCAAACAGGTACTGAAAAGATGAGAAATGTCTGTGTGACTTATTCTGAATCTGGAGGTTACATTGACCCTAGAGGTGTTTTCTGGGTGCCAGCACATTTTTGATTCTGAGCATAGCACAAAGCAGAACTTCAGAGCAGCTCTGGGCTGCATAGCCTTGCAACAGTAAAAAAAACAAAAACAAAAACAAACAAACCAGAAACAGCTGACTTCACCTTTTGTTGTGATTATATGGGGCAGTCAGCACCAATTTTGAAAACTGCTTGATTTTTTTCCTAAAAATAACCTTCTGGGTCACTTTTAATCAAGTCCAAATAGCCAAGTTCCTGCGTTGGTAATTCTCCTATAAATAAAATTTGACAGGGATACCTTCAAAACCAACATCCAAGCATTTAAACAAGTTGTCTCAAACTCTGTTCTGACTCCAGCTTTGTAAATCATTGCCAAATATCACACAGCTTCATGACCTAATCCTCTGCAGAGATATCTGATGCTGTGTAAATCTGTGTCAGGAGGGCAACACCACCTGTGATGTGTTTCAGGGTGACATTTGTGGCTCTCAAAAGAAAATGGGAACCCGCTCAGATCCACTCAAAAAGAAATGAGAACCCACTCAGATCTGAGTCTGGTCTTGCAGGATTTGAACCAAAAACCTTCTGCCTTGGCAGAAAGGGCAGTTATGGGACACAAATCCAGGATGAGGGAGGAATTGTGCAGATGCTCCAACTAAAGCAGTTTGAAACCCTTGATAAAATCTGACTTTCAGTCATCATGAGTGAAACAAGCAAAGAAGGCTGTTGGGTACCCTGTACTTGATTAAATTTCATTTAAATATCTACATTGATTTTACAGATCAATTTAACAAATTAGTGAGCTTCCCTTGGAATGTGAGTGTATGGATCTCTGAGCATACAATCACTGAGCTGTTCTTTTAATACCTTCAGCCTTTCTGGATAGGAACCTCCAAAGCTTTGTAAGGTTAAGAATGTTTTCTGCACTAAACTTTCCAGCAAAGACAGAAATATGGGCCACAGTGCTTCTCCTATCATGTATTCTCCTTCATGCCAGTTATTTTTTAAACTTTTAAGATGACTTAATTAAATGGCTTTAGTATATAACTACAGTGCACATTTGCTTACTGCTGTTAGACAAATCCTTAGCCCTTTACCATTATTTGGGCAACATTTAATTAGTGGGAAGAGTGAATAAAAGGAGGATTTGAACTCTGTGTTGATGCAGCACCAGATACAGGATGTAAACCAGGTTGGTGAGAAACAGGGAAAGCAGAAAATGGGTGCATTGGTGAGCTGGAGATGGTTTTTAAGTTAAAACCAGATTTTCTTCTTCAGCTGTGAGCTTTGGGTGAGCAGGATTGAAATCCCATCACTCCTCCAAGTGGAAGGAGCATGTCAAGCCTGTGGCATTGCTTATTCTAAAATGACTTAGACATGATGCTCAAGTCAGAGGTTCAGATCCACTTTCCCAGAGATGGAAGCAAAAGCTTTGCTGCTGGTTTTTACCTCCTCAGTGTCTATGAGGCCCAAGACATCAGACCTTGAACCCAGCCTGCCTGTCTGGTGTGATGTTCTTACAGGGCACTCAGCACCAAAAGGCAGAAGTGTTTATTGAGCCCTTTGTTCTGCCCCAGCTGCTGGGTCTGTGCACAGGAGGTGAGTCTGTGTCACACCTTGTTAAAGAGTGACAAGTTACAGGGTGACAGCCAGCCTCTGTGCCACTTAGTCATCTGCAGGAGGGGGGCTGACTTATCCTGGCAGAAACCCCAGCTCAGGCTGGGTTTCTCTGAGACCTCCTGCCCTTAGTCACCCACATGACACAATAAAGCCATCAGCAGGTAAATAATTTAACAAATTGAGTGAGTTTTTACAAAGTGCTTAGCTGTGCAGACTGCATTGGTATGTAAATAAATGCATATTCAGGAGAAAGGCTGCTCCCTAAGGGACACTGTCTTGGGACTCAGGGACCAGGCTGGTCTTGCCCTGATTTATCCCAGACCTCGTGGGTGATGCTGGGCTGCTCAGCCAGCAGTGGGCTTCAGAGTAAAAATCACCCCATCCTAAAATTAAAAGGAAGGTTTCCCTCCAGAGCTGTCAGTGTTTAAGGAGGTGCTGGAGTTTCCCAGCACCTCTTTTTTATAATGTAGAGGAGTCCCTGCTTTTAGGCTTAGCTGATATCTTGAAAATGGCAACAGCACCCACTCCTCACAGATGAGCTTTGCACACTCCCATTGGTGAGTATGAGATATCCAATACTGTGAGAACTAGGGCTGTGAGAATGGTAAATGAGAAAAAAACCCAACAAATTAAAAGGTAGATAAATAATATACACAGGTTTCTCCTTCTAAAAAGATAGTGTTTTATAGTATGTGGTGATTGATTCCCGTTGGTTTTTTTTGTTGTTTTGGGTTTTTTTAATACATGCAAATTGGCATGATACCTACAGTGTTGGAGAGCTGTTTGTTTTCACTCTTTGCTCAGTAAGATTTCAGACTGTGAACACTGATTTGAGCATGCAGAACCCTATTGCTCCATATGTTCACAATCTCTACTGCCACTCAGTTCATTCAGAATCCAGTCCTGTGCCTGATGCCATCCACATTTCTGACCAACTAGGGCACTACAAAAGCTCTGAGAACATGAAGAGCATGGGAAACTCTCCATGCTGCTTCCAGATTCTGGAAGTTAATTTCAAAGAAATAGTCTTTGAAAGGTGTGAGCCTCAACATTGAGCACCTGTCAAATTTCCATCTCCATTTAGAGACTGTGCAGAAACCGGAAAAAGTGAATAAAAGCAGAATGGAAGAGCCATGCACATCATTCTTTTAAGGTCTGTGGTATAGTCATGTCTGCCAGCAATGTAGAAGACTTGTTTGTAATCGCTTAGTTGAAGACGAGTGATTAAATGTAAATACCAAAATCCTTTATCTCTGCTGGAAAGGGTTAGATGTGCTTTCTTCCAAAAAGCTCTGAATCGTAACACTTACCTGACTCATACTTTGGGTAGTGGAACATATAGACATCTCAGGGAGTGCACAGAAAACAGCACAGAGTGGTGGGTCTGTTATGGTGATTTTTTTTTCATCCACTTTGTGAGGAATCATCCTTTCTTCTGTGTGAATCCAATGTAACAGCTCCCATTTAAGATTTTTTCCCCACTGTCCCACTAACCAGCTGTTTCTTTCCAGGGAGGAAAGCCAGAAGAGAAGGAAAATGTCAGGAGCGTTGTAACAGGTTGAATTTTCACTTTGTGTCTCCATCCAGGTGTCTTTGATCAGCCTGGTTGCCAGCACTCTTGGATACTCCGAGATGGGTCCCATCAAATCCCTGCGGACCCTCCGTGCCCTGCGGCCACTGAGAGCCCTGTCACGGTTTGAGGGGATGAGGGTAAGAGGACACAACAAAGCATCCATCAAAGCTCACCTTTGTGTGGATCAAGGTGTAACTGGGGATTGCTGCACGTGGCTTTGTCAGCCAAAGCAAATGAACGATAGTGATTTATCACGGCAACAAAGAAATCCCTCCTGGGTCTTGGTTGTATCATTACATCTTAATCCTTTGGTGGATTTAGTGATAAACTAATCCTGCTGCCTAACTTGTCACTCTACACCTTAAAAAAAACCAGCTTTTTAGATGAGGAAGCATCTGGTTATCAACTACCTCTCCATTATAAGGTGTATCAGAGGAGCAGCCAAGCTAAAGTTTGCTCCCTGCTTTGACATGTGTTAAAATGAGAGTGATTAGAAAGTTCTTGAGGACGTTTTTGCTAATAATTAAAGCAAAAATTAGAAATGCTAAAGATAGGGAAAGCAAATGAATGAATGATTTTTTTCCCCTTTGAACAGATTGCACCATTAATGAGGAATGCTGGGATTAACATTAAAATCATGCAACTTGTGCTTTTTGCTCCATCTTGTGCATCCATCTCTTTCTTTTTCTGCATTCCTTTGCCACCATGGCTATATTCCCACAGCATACCTGATTATTTGTTAAGCCTACCTGCTAACAAGAATCAATTATTGTTTAGATAAGCACTTTATTTAATTCCTCACACCATGCATGACTTGCAGGTGGTGACAGCTGTGTTCTGTATGAGCTGAGGTTACTGCTAACCTTGCAGATTGCATAGCAAGGTAAAGCACATCTGTGACACAATTCTGTGTCAAATTATATTGATGATCCCAAATCTCTCTGCTAGGCTACATATTTCACAGTGATGTATATTCAGGGTAAAGCTTTCATGTAGACAAAATTTTGGTCTGAATCATCAGTGACTAAATGTGTATTTCATGCACTGATCTCCCAGCAATGAATTATTTGCATTGCAATGCTCTCACAGCAAGAGACTGAAGGCTGGAGGACTTAACAACTGAGATGAGCCAGGAAATATGGTGATACAGCAGCATAGGAAAACCCCACATCCATTCTTTTCCTCTTCTGTGGATGACCAATTTGGCAATATAACACTTTGCTCCAAAGATTTTGTGATTACCTAAATCATATTCTTTTTGTGGGTGAAGATGAGGCAAGTACTGTTGCAGACCACCTCTGTGTTAGTACTAAGGCAAAAAGATTCAAAAGGCTCTGTTTATCCAGGCACCCAAACCTGAACTGCTTTGGTCACCACAATCTTTCCAGCAGTCAGGCAATATTTTGCAGGTAATTGACCAAATAACACAAAACCAAAGTAGAAAGCCACAAAGTGAGGTTGCACTACTGACAATAATTAAAGCTCCCACTCCTGTCATTTGATGAGTTCGCTCTAAGTCTTTATTAAACATTCACAGATGGAACTATTTCAGCATTCAGTATTAGCAAAAGCAATAGTTTAACTACCACAGTGATTTGTGCACAGATTCTCTCCAATCAGTTTAGACTTGGCTTATGAAGACTTAGCTTTTACTGGTGGATTAACAAGCCCAAGCAAAACTCAGTGTGTTCTAAGCTGACATACAACTGTTTACTCATGATTTCACATCAGTTTAACTAAATTGGATTCAAACCTGAATAGCAGTGGGGAAATGAGCCAAAAACATCAGAAAAGCATTAGTAGAATAGAGAAGAAGTAACATGAAAAACTCTTCATTTCTCTCTGAGAAGAGCAAGAGGTTGGCTTGGTGAAGATCTTAACATGGATCAGCCCAGCAAATTTCCTTCCCAACATGCTCATTCTAACAGGCCCCTCAGTTCCTGAGTCAATATCCCCTTTTCTTTCCTGTACCATTGCTGCAGCTGAAATATATTCAGTCATTCTGAGCTATCAGAGGTGGTGAATTAGCTTGTAAACCATGATAAAGTATAATTGAGAATACGTGCTATTGGAAAAGCAAATCATTTTAGTTTAAGTCTGTCTAACCACACTTAACAAGACTAGGGACAGTTAGACCTTTCATTATTAGGAGTTTATATGCTCCAAAATGCACAGGAAAATTGCCAGCACTGTGATGGATTAAATAATGATAATGTCGAGAAGCAAACACTGACAGTGAGAAAATAATAATAGTTTGTTCTATTATAATGCCTCCTTCTTGAATAACTGAAACATCTCTGCAGGGCTAGAACAGGAGCAAGAAAGTTCTCATTTACTGCAGTAAGAGACTTATTTCATTGATGTTGTGCCTAAATTTTGGAAACAACTTTCCCTGAGGCAAAGGCACAGAGCTGCACTTGGGTGGCCAAGAGGACCTGTTGCTGTCAGACCTCAGTTCTCTCCCTGTCTTCAAACAGTCTGGGAGCTCTGCAAGTTTGGCACAAGTCTCAGCAGCTCCTATGCCATGAGAGGTCTGCAAAATAAGGATGAACTGGTGCCATCCTGCCCCTTAATCCTCAGAAAAAGACCCCAGAAAAACCAGGATCCCACCTGACAGGACTGTAGATCCAGAGGCTTTACACTCACGAGTCCAGAATAAAGTAGCTTATATCTGCCTGTCCCAAATAATGACATCTCTCATGCCTCCTCCTTTTTTGTCCATCAGGGAATTATTTCAGAGGTGGCATTTCCCTGCAAGGGAGGTTATTTTAGAAGGATGTATTTACAGTATTTCAGGCAGTATTTTAGAAGGATGAGGGGGATGATGAGAGACCATTTAATGTGAAAATGATACTGGGCGAAGTCATGGTGAGACTGCTACAAGATGTATGCAGGAAAGAAACAGCATAATTAATGCTAGTTAGCATGATTTCATGGGAATAGTTCTTGTAAAACTGATATGGGCCTTTGATTTGATTACAAATTATGCTGATGACAGTAACTGTGCTGATACAGAATCCTTGGATTTCAGAGAGGAATCTGATACCATGAGATATTGTGATGCAAACATGAGCTTTGTACCAAGACAAGTAAACACATTTTAAAATGGGTGATGGGTCTCAAAAAGTAATTGTAAGCAGTGACCACACTAAATTTGATGATGAGCATCTCAGGGTGAGGGATTGTTCAGAATGAGAACTGTCTTTAATCTGTACATTAACAGCATCTGGAAGGAAATATAAAATCTTTGCTGACAGCACTCAAAATCAGTGTAAGTGAAATTACAGATAAGGGAATTATGCTGGCTGATCTGGATCACAGTGAAAAATAGATCTGTTGTACAACACACATTTTAATAAAGCCACATGCATTGATTACCTCAGGAGGAGGAATGTAGGTCACTCTGGGGGATGTTTCTTGGAAAACAGCAGCTGAGAAGGACACAGGGATCAGGACAACTGTTCAACAGGACACAGGCTTTGGGGCAGTCTGACAAATGAGGTGACTGTTAGAATCCTTGAATATGCAGGGAAATAACCCAGGAAACAGAGGGAAAGTGCAGTGCTTCAACACTGGAATTCCATGAAAGTGCTGGAAAGGGGGAATTAAAAATGGGAAAGTTTCTGCAGGGAACTATGAGTGTGATTAAAAATCTGAAAGAAACATGATAGCTACAAGGAAGCTCTGATTTTTTAATTACCCAGAGCAATGTGCAGTGGTAACTCCTCCCAATGAAGATAGGAATGATAGGAGAAGCCATCTAAAAGAGTTCAACAAATTCCACCTAAAAATGCAGCAACTGTTTCTAAAATTGAGGACAAAGGGCACCAGGAACAGATTATCTAATAATACTTTTTTTCCTCCATTATTTGACATTGTGACACTGTAAATTAGATGTCTTTGCAAAAGCTGTGCCTGAGCTTCACTGGGAGTTATAGTCTGGGCCTGAAATCACTGTGGGGAGTCTGATGGGCTCTCTCAGAGCAAAGGGAGGATTAACTCATCATGCAAGTCTACTTCTGGATTAAAAATCTGAATCAGCTTTGGTTGAGGAGGTGGCCTGTGAGATCAGGGGAGCTGGGGACCAAACACAGGTTATAGATTGCACCACTCTGAGTTAGGGCAGAGGGTGGCTCAGTTTCTAGGCTGTCCCTAAAGAAGTCACCTGGAAGGTGGTTTCACCTGTAAAGGTATTGATAGAAACCAACAAGTATGAAACCTTTTCTTACACATGGATAAATGTGCTGCTATTCCAAAGTGCAGCAGAAATTCTTCCCCTTCCATGGCAACATGTGCAACTTTAAATATGAATTTATGATAATGACCTGCCTTTATGTATCCAGGTCTTCCCCTCACTTGTCTCAGTGCAAAAGAAGAATGCTTCCACCAGAACAAATGGCATCACCCTGGTGTAAGAGCAGAAGCAGCAAGGGAAGAATGAACCCCCTTGTTAATAATTCATTCAGAGAGGTGTTGCAGGATTTGCTCCAGCCTCGTGTCTTGTTTTGTTATCTACAGGCCATTGAACATAACTCAGCAGAAGGGAAAAAGCAGGATGTGGGCATGGCCATCACTTGTACTGCTGAAACCTGGGTTCAGCAGCACATATAGCACAAATGGATGTGTCTTTGCTGGCAGGGGTTAAAACTGAAGAAAAATATTGTTGTGCAGAGAAGCAAACGAAAACTACTTTGACAAGAGCCAAGGCTATATCCAAACAAGCCTTTGATTTGGAAATTATTTGGCATTTTGGTTAACATGGTAAATTTGGTCTAAAAATGATGAGGTTAGAAATTGATTGACGTCCAAAACTGAAAGATAAAATTAGCAAAACAACAAAACAAAAAAGTCCCAAGAAAAGTCATCAGGAATGGGCCTATACAGAAAAACAAAACAAAACAATTGGTCAAACTGCTTTTCCTGTGTGAAAATCAACTTCATTCATAAATGCACAAAATATAAATCTGAGTTTTGGAAGATCTACATAATTTTGTATTGTGTGCTGTAGAGGAAGCTGCTGCTATACATGCACGAAAACCATTTCACTCCTCCGGGTATTCTTCTCCCACAGCAATGCAAAAATGATGGAGAAGTGAATGTTACATTATTAGCTTGTCAGAAAATTGGACACTAACACAAGAGAAAAGAAGAGCTGACATTTTCCATAATCACATTCACCAATTGAATAAAGTTTAATTTTTATGGATCAATATCACCTTGTCTCAGTTTCAGAAACGTAAATGGAGAAGAAGAGCAGCAGAGTGGCCTCCTATCAGATTTTAATCTCCAAAGCATGAGGCAGGGATGGAGAGAAATTCATGTTGTGGGGCTGGTATCTGGGAGGCAGCATTGCCTGAACCACGCAAAGGCAGCATCTCCAAAGGCTGTGAACATGGAGAAACCTGGCTGGCATAGGAAAGGGGAAAGCTACATTTGGTGATAGAGTTCTTCCCTCAGAAATTGTCTTGCGTGGTGTGACTTTGGAATGTCCTGTGCAGAATGGGGAACTGGGACCCTTCCAGCTCAGGATATTCTGTGATTGATTCTCTGATTCTTCAGTGTAAGGTTTGATGTGCACAGATGCCTCAACCACCTTAAACCCCAACAGTTCTGTCTCGGTTTGCAAAGACAGGTGTCTGCTAAGGAAGGCAGGACCCTCCCCTGAAATGGAAAATGTAAACCCCCTCCCTATGAATTGTTATAAATTTGAAATTAAGGGGCTCTCAGGCAAAAAATATGGGAGCAGGAATAACAGTTCTTTATTAGGGAAGAAAATAAAAAGATAAAATAAACAATGCAGTAAACCAAAATAATACTGACAGAGTCAGAACACAGCCTGACACCCTTTTGGTCAGGGTGTTGGTAGCAATCCAATGGGAATTGTGGCTGCAGCCCTCCTGGAGTGTCAGGGGTGGTTCTGCTGGAGCAGGGATCCTGTAGAAGGGTGTGGTCTTCTTCTGAAGATCCAGTGGAAGAGGCAGCTGTTCCTCTGGGAAATCCAGTGGAGAAAGTCGTGCTGGAGTTCCAGAATCAAGATTATATCCGGGTAGGAATGCTTGGCTCCTCCCCTGGGCTCACATCTCCCATGGATGCTGTAGTTCTTATCAGCCATGCAGGGACATTCCATAGCCTGTTATCAACAAGGTCTCCCCAGAGGGAGGATTGGGTGTGGAAGAGATAAGGAAAACTGCCCACTGAACAGAAGACAACTGCTATACAGATGGCAAATGGAATACAATTTGCTTGGCAATCCAGGACAAGTGCTCAAAACAGTAAATGATGTGCACCTTGCCTGGGTGATGTGGGGGTATCACAGTACTGCATCCAAACCTGGCAGCTGTGGAGGGTCTGTGGATGGTCTGAACTTTTTTTTTTGCTTGGCTTCGGCATGGTGTCCACTTCCAGTGCCATCATTCACACACCTTGAAAGCTTCTTCTGCTTTTCATTTAATGTATGATTTTGTGCAGGGGTTTACAGCCCTGCCTGGGTTAATGTGTAGGAATTTTACAGCCTTATACATGATTTTTTTTTTTTGTTAAATTAGAATGATTTTGCTCATTTAATCACGCATACTGATCAGACAGGGGAAGCTGACTTAATACAGTATGTCTCAAACTGTTATTATTTAATTAAACAAAATTTATCACAGCTATAGTTCACAACCCACTGGCTACAGAGGCCTGAGTGGATGGAAAGACTTCAGAAAGCTTTTTTTTTTCTCTATTTTGAGTCACTCTAGTGCACCCCAGCCATTTCCAATTAATCACATTATTATTATAGTTTGACTGAAGTGTACTATCCAGAAAGATTTGAGAGGTCAAGATGACTTCTGAATTCAGAGATTCCTCTTGAAAAAGCATCAACCCTTGGGTAAGATGCCAACAGATTCTTTCTTTGACTACCAAAAGGAAAAAATAGTGATGTTTGAAGCCTTTAGTAAGGTAATGTCAGTGCTTAACCACCTGTCACCATATGAGAGTTCAGACTCATTAATCAAGGGTGCACAGCAGCTTGTTAATGAAGTGACCATACAAGTGCTGACATTAATTCTGTTTTCCCTTTCCTGCTTCCCCCAAGGTGGTGGTCAATGCCCTTGTGGGAGCCATCCCTTCCATCATGAATGTTCTGCTCGTCTGCCTCATCTTCTGGCTCATCTTCAGCATCATGGGAGTGAACCTCTTTGCTGGGAAGTTTGGGAAGTGCATTAATAAGACAGAAGGAGATATGCCTTTGGACTCTAAAATTATTAACAACATGAGTGACTGCATACTTTACAACGTGTCAGGCACGTTTTACTGGACAAAAGTCAAAGTTAACTTTGATAATGTTGGTGCTGGGTACCTGGCTCTGCTGCAAGTGGTAAGTGTGACCACCAGAAACTCATGGGCAGATGTTGCTGGTTCTCACTGAAACCATGACTTCAAAAGCTCAGGTTTATCTCTGCGCTTTTCTGGGTTTTGCAGCCTGATCCATCAGGACAATGCCTTTCCTCAAGTGTAAATAAATCACATTTTGCTATGAATTTGGCCTAGAGATATTATGGCAGTTTATGGTTTTAATTTGGGTTTTTGCTTTTGTATCACTAATACAGTTCTCTGGGAGGTGATTCGACTATTGAGATTCATTAAAGACCATTTTTGTCAATATTGTAATCCAGAGCAAAGTTCACTTCCAGAAAAGAAATCTATGATAGAGGAAGGATTGTCCATGCAGACAGAGTGCACTGGCCCTCCAGAACAGCCTGGGATTTCACTATATCTTGTTGGGGAAAAAATGAAGTTCTAGTGCCTTCTGTTTCCCAGCTGATGTTACTACATAAAGCTGAAGTCTTAATTTATGTCCCTCTGCTCACTTTCCATTTTTGAGAAGGACACTTGTTCCTCTCATTCTGGTTCCTCACCTTGTGTCCACCTGCTAAAATAAGGATTCAGATTGAATCTAACTGTGGGTCAAGGTGGGGATCAGGTTGCTGGCACTGCCCCAAGCCCAGCCTCTCTGGGAAGGTGGCAAGAGCACAGCAGAAAAGAGACTGCTGAGGTTCAAAGATGATGGCAATATTTGAGCTGTAAAGGCAGAAGGAAGCCACTTCTAGAACCTTTTCCCCATCAAATGTAAAATATAGATAAATGGGTTGCATGCACTGAGATTCACTGTGTTTTGACACAGGACAACCTAACAGAAAGAGCCACAGGAGACTCCACCTTGTCCAGGCCCTGCTGCTGGACTGCTGGGTGATTTCAGAGAAGTTGTTGTGTGTTTCAATTCCACAGGACTCTCACATAAATTAGTGGTTATGATGCTTATTTCCATTGTTACTAATCTGGAGCCAAATGATGACAGGGGGTGGATGTGCACTTGGAATGTTTGCTCATTGCAATTTTTGCATGCAGAGTTAAATAAGTTCCTTGCTACATCTTTGGACAGGGAGGTTTATTTCTTGAAACACCTGTGACTACATCCCTCAATTCTGGGATAAAAAATTGTGTTCTGGGAGCTCAATTCATTTGTCACCTGCAGAATCCACCCTTTGCAATGCAGCAGGGCACTGCCTTCAGCCCCCTCCTGCTCTTCCAAAGGGGCACGAGCCTCCCACAGGTCCCCATCAGATCTGCCAGCCCTTCTCCTTCCCAGGAAGTGAGCTTGCTTTTCCCAGATCTGGTTTTCTCTGTCACAGATGCATGGAACAGCTCCATGAAGCAATTTTCCTTTCTGGTAGAAATCCTTGTTCTTATTTGTGCAGTTCCTAGTACACAAGCACTTGAGTTTGAGATCTTCTGATCAGTGTCCATTGAGTTTTTCTTTCACACCCTCTGGAAAGCAGAAGCTTTGGAATGGACACAACCACTTTTGATTCTTTCCATGACATAAACTTGCTGAGAGTGAGAGCTTTCATCTGTTGCACATAATTATGATATTCAGCTCAGCCATGCAGGGTGAATTATTTCACTTTGAAAGCCTTTAATTAGATTTTCTTTTCTAAATAGTGTTTTCTTTGTCTTTCATTTAAACATCCAATGTAGATGAGCAAGAATGTCCAGGTTTAAAATACTGTGCCTTACCTGAAGTTTCTTAATCCCTCTGATTATATAACAGTTGCCTACTTTTTGGGGGTGAAAATCTCCATCAGAGAGGCAGCTATTCCTTCACCATTTCTTTTATAAGAATCATGCTCCAATTTTCTGAAAATCTTCAGCTGTTCATAAGTTGGCATTTCCTAAGGAATATCCTGAAGCAGTCTTTTCTGGTCACTTCTGTTGGGATCAGTGGGGGCAGAAGAAACATAACTGGTTGTAAGGTGGATCTCAGCTCACATTTGAAGGGAATGGGCTAATTCTGCTCTTTTCCAGTTGAAAATGGGAAAATGTTTTCTTTCAAACCTATGATCCTTTAGGTAGGAGAGAAATAGATCTTTTAGTTGCAAAAGAAGTCTTATAAACCTAGACCTGCTCAGGCTGAACAAACTGGTTTTAGCAGGAAATCAGGTATGATTTCTATGACAGGTGGCAGCTCCTTCTTCACAGAGGAAGAGCAGGAGCCAGTTTCCATTAGGGGATTGATTTTGGCTTCAATCCTGCACCTGGAGCCCTTATGTCTGCTGCTGACCACAGGCAATAAAGTGAAAAGGTGACACACACAAAGAAGGGGCCCAAACATCTGGATCTCCTTTGCCAGGAGTGTCGGTTGCAGGTGCCCCTTGCCAAATATTCTCCATAAGGGGTCACATTTCATGGGCAAACCCCCGTGGGAAATGCAGGGGCTCAGCTGACAGCCCAGCTCTCCTGGAGAGTCAGACACCTCTGTGCATCCCTGGGCACAGCAGGCAAGGAGGAGATAAGCATTTGGGTTACAACCCGCCGGGATCCAAAACATGAGCGCTCAAGTGCAGCTTGTCTTTCGGATGCTGACATTTTCAACTGCCACAGCACGGATCTGAGTGGCTCTGAAGTTCCTTTGGAATGCCTGCAAATCCAAATGGAAACGTGTAAAAGAAATCTGCTTGATGTTCTGTGTTCTTCAGCAGCGTATTTGAAAGAAATGAAAGTTGCTACTGTGGAAATTTTAGGACATGAATCTACCCAGAGGAAAGTTTTCTGACAATGCAGTTGAGAACTGCATAAATTTTGCCCCAAATATCTTCTGCTCTTTTCCTACCTTGATTGGGATCCATAGTGCTGTCCTGAAGTTGCCACTTTGGGTTAATGAATCTGAGAAAACATTAATGCAAAGTGTCAAGCTAGTCCAACTAAAAGCAGGCTGTCCCAGTGCTTCAGGAATAGTTTTTCTGTATTCCAAATTTCCTTAAAGTATCACAGCACCTGTGTTCTATAAATCTGTATTTGAACTGATCAAATATCTTAACTTTCCAGTAGCAGTTTTGCATTTCTCTTGTGTAATCCCACGCTTCCACCCTGTGATCACCTCTGCATATTTTTTTGCAATGTATTTTGAAATTTTAGCCATCTGTTGAAGAACACCCAGGAAATAAGTGGTCTTTCATGCAGCATCTGGCTTGTTTGGAAAAGTTCTTCTTAGACAGAATGGACTTAAATTGGCTATATCCTACTTATCTTTGAATTTGTCCCATTAACTCTGTCACTTTGGGACTCCAGGTGAGGAGTGGGGAGATAAAAGAAGCACTTCCAGACCAGCACAGCAAGCAGGAGCTGCAGAGTTAAAGCAATCCCTCATGCCAGGTTTGAAGTCCTGAGTGAACCCATAAATCAGACACAAAATGATCAGGAGGCAGAGTTGAGTGTCTAAAGTTACTGCATTACACCATCTCTTGCACTTCTGTGAACTGCAGTGCCTGATTTACTGTCACTGTGGATGTGCAAAAAAATCTCTGGTTTAGCTTTCAGAAATTTCTCTCATCAGCAGTAATGCCCAAAGAAACATTTCAGCAACGTGAAGGCCAGTGTTTCAGCCATGAAAAGCAGACATTTCTATTGAACAATTGTCTTTGCTGGGAAAAAAAAAAAAAAGGGAAAGAGAAAAATGGAAAAGGAAAAGGAAAAGGAAAAGGGAAAGGAAAAGGAAAAGAAAAAGAAAAAAAAGAAAAAAAAAGAAAAAGAAAAAGAAAAAGAAAAAGAAAAAGAAAAAGAAAAAGAAAAAGAAAAAGAAAAAGAAAAAGAAAAAGAAAAAGAAAAAGAAAAAGAAAAAGAAAAAGAAAAAGAAAAAGAAAAAGAAAAAGAAAAAGAAAAAGAAAAAGAAAAAGAAAAAGAAAAAGAAAAAGAAAAAGAAAAAGAAAAAGAAAAAGAAAAAGAAAGAAAAATAAGAAAAGAAAAAGAACCCCAAAAGCTTACAGATTTAAAGACTTGCTTTACTTCCAGGCACCATTTGGTGTGAGGGCAGCCAGTGCCATCCCACCTTTCCTCCTCCCCACTAATTTGCTGCATTGCAGCTCTAACCACCAGTGAAATAACGAAATGTAATCCCATCCCAGGGTGAGTTTATCAGTAGATAATCTCATCACATGACAGTTTCAGTAGAAAATGGTGCTTCTCTGGATAGCTTCCAGGCAGGATAATATCACAAACACTCAAACACAGATTTTGTCACTTCCTTATCCAGAGTGTAAGTGGTTACTAATTCCAGATAAATAATTTCTTTTCTCAGTGTTATATTTCTTTCATTCTCAGTATCTGTTACCCTCTGCAGGTGAAGTGTCCAGGGAAGCTTTCCAGATGTCCCACAGATTTTTAATTCTCTCGCTTCTCGACAACTGGGGGAAACAGAAAATCACAGCACTTCATTCTCTTAGTATTTATTTTTGTCAGATCACTTCATCATCTGTTATCACTGCAAACCACTGTGCCTTGCAGGAGAGTTGCTGGAGTCTGTGGCACACATTGAGGGGTAAAATAGCTGCTCAAAAGAAAAGATTTCCTCCCAAGTGGGAGAAAAGTACAGGCTAAGATCATATCATTTTGTGCCACTGGGAAAGGATTTCATGTTTCATCCCAGGCACCCTTCCTGAAAATCTGAAAAGCTTTGAGCTGCAAGCCCTAATGGCAGCAGAAAGTCTTTCATCAGATTAGAAAGATAATGGCAAAAAAGGAAAATATTAGGATATTTAAGGAATATCAGCATGACAGGTTCAAATAATTATTTGTTTTGATAAAACTGCTGATTGTTCCTGTATGTACTTCATCTAAAGTGATTTTTAACACACAGCACCATGGAAGAGATTTTCCAAAGGGCTCTGCTTTGGGTGAGTGGGTTAATCTCTTTCAGGCAGTAGATGAGAATAGGTGCAACCTTTCAAACACTATTTTATGTATACTTTTGTGAGAAATATCATTGATCTCTTGTACATTTTCCTTTGGCTCAGTAGCATTCAGAAGGAACTGGGAAGGCAGCATTACCTCCAGGATTTAATATAATAACAGAGAGTTCTGAAACCACTGAATGTACCCACCTCAGCCCAGCTGCCTGGGTTTCTCTTGGTTACCTCTGGCCACATTCCTTTTGGCATTCTCTGGAATTGTATGCCTACACAATAGGGCAAAATTCAACTTAAGTGTCAGTAGGGTGTAAAAAAGTATTGGGTGTGGGTCTCACATGTATGACAGTGTAAATCTGATGAAATTAATAAATCTAAAAAAGCCTCATTGTCTGCTCACTCTGACTTAGGTCGGGGTAGGTCTAAATAGGTCAGAAGTCAGATGAGAAACAGCTCTAGAGAACCCAAATAAAGGCAGTGGGGCTTAGGCCAGAGTCAGACCTAATGCCAGGTGTGCTTGGCATCAGGCTGTGCCTAATAAGAGGCACATATTGAGATCAAAGAGTTGTGAGCTTGCTACAGAATAGTAAAAAATCACTTCCCTGTGTTTCTCCTAGGAGTGCTGTCACTGCCCTTCTGCATTGAACATTCCAATGAGAGACACTGACTTCTGTGGAATCTTTTCTTCTTTAAACAATTATTTTAAAAAATAAATTAAGACTACTGACTTCATAAAGCTTAATAAAAAGAAAATCTGAACAGTAAAGCAGATTGAGTTTCCAGGGCCAGGCTCACAGCAGGTGTTGATTGCCTTTGCTTCTTTCAAGTCAGCTGTGATTTATGCAGCTCCCTGGGGTTTAATACTGCCATCAATTGCCCTGGTTTAGAAGAGGGCAGAATCCAACCTTCAGCAGGATATGGATGGGCTCCATCTCACCTGGGCAAGGCTTGTGCAAGGCAACATTCTTTAATGTTATGTGTACCCATATCTCTTCATTACTTGAAATTTTTCAGGTCAGAATTTCCAAAGATTTAATTGTTATGTTTTCTTTCCTTCTTAAAATCTCTACTAAACCCCTCTCTTTTATTCCTGCAAATGCAGAAAGTCAAAAAACAGAAATAAGAAAATCCAGGAGAAAACCATACTGGAATTAATTTAAATACCTAAATGAGCATAAAGTCAAGGACACATGTTAGATTGCAAGGCAGGCAATGTATTAATTGTGAAATACATGCTCAACACTGCATTTTGAAAGTTCATCATAGAGATTATATCATTTCAGGGTGTACTTGTTTAATATGCTTATGTCTTACGTGGGATTTTTTTTCAGGCCACATTTAAAGGCTGGATGGATATTATGTATGCAGCAGTGGATTCAAGAGAGGTAAGTCTCTGCAAGGAAATTAATAATTTCCTGTTCCATTGCCTTTTGCAGCACTGATGATGCTTAACAACAAACACAACAAAATTAAATACATGCAGGGTGCCAGTCCCTGTCTTACTCTGGCTGGGACGTTGCAGACCCTCATTGTTAGTAGCTGTACTGGAGCATGATGACCCTGAAATTAAAGTAAATGTGGCCCTTATTCCTACACAACTGATTTATCTATTCCTGCAGAACTCCCAGGACACAGAGACACCTCAAGAATTAGTCTGAGTCCATCAAAGACCTAAATTGCTCTCTATATTTCTTCCCCTCTCCCTGTTTACTGCCTTATTTCCCAGCTTCTGTTGATAGCATGTCTTTAAAGGTGCTGGGTTTAAGTTGAATTGCCCCGTGAGACAAATATTTAACCCTCCCTACAGCTTCACTGTGAGGAAGTGTCTTTTCTGCAGCCAGCAGCTCCACTGGAGGAGTGGAGAAGCTCCTGGCAGACAAAGAGGGCAGTGTGAACTTCCAGCTCTGACTGAGATGTGCTGGTGACTGGTGACAGCTCAGTTCTTACCTGCATCCTGTTCAGCTTTCAGGTTTCCATAAAAACAGCCAAACGAAAAAAGCATTTCCCTTGCTACACCATGTGTGGTTTGTTTATCTTTTTACAGAAAGATCTACAGTGTTTTTTCCTTCTTTTAATTGTATTAGAGGAACAGGTTTGCACTTACTGTTAATTTTTTGAGGCAGCTGTCTGGTACTAGGAATTTGACAGGCTGAATTTAGGGCAAAAGTCAAGGCCTAAGTGAAGGAATAAGGGGTGGAAAGACTTCCTGGCACTACAGGAGCAGAGAAGTACCTTTGCATAACATAGCTCATGATGGTGATGCATTCTGGTACACGTGCACAGGTATCCTCCCTGCTGCTGAATGAAACTCGTGGAATACCCACAAGAAAATATGGCATTTAGGGAATGCATCATGTTTACATACCAGGAGCTGATGGGGCAAATCTGAGCACATGGCAGAAGTGACTTGAGGCTATCAGACTCAAGTCACCTCTTTCTCAGTTCTTCAGCAACAGACCTTATTCCATTCCACCCCTCACTAAAAAAAAAATTCACTTAAAAATGCAGTGTTTTTCATTAGGATTCAATTATACTGCAATCATACTTCTGTTTTATTGTAAGTACCATTAGTTCATACAGGCATGAGGATAATCAGAAAATGGATTATTTTGCTCTTCTGGGTTCAGACTGAGAACATTTGGTAGGATTTATTCCGGAGTTGCACTTTCTGGAGCAGTGTGATTGCTGTGACAGTGTTGTGAAGTGTTGCTGAAATGACTGTGGCATTGCAGATGCCAGTGGTAAACTTCAGAGGAGAGCTGACTGCTCACAGGAGTTGCAGTATTTTTCTCATGTTTCATGACTTTTATTTCCAATGGACAGCTTTGTTTTGACTGCATCAATATTTTGATGTGTGCAGAGGTGGTGTCATTTTCACACTCTCCCTTTTCCCTTTGCAGTGCGAGGAGCAGCCTGAATGGGAATGTAATTTATACATGTACCTTTACTTTGTGATTTTCATCATCTTCGGGTCTTTCTTCACATTGAACCTCTTCATTGGTGTCATCATTGACAATTTTAACCAACAAAAGAAAAAGATAAGTAGTGCATATGCTACACATCATCTTGTGACTGCTGCAGGAACCAAAGCCAGGAACAGATTTATCAGCAATGGCTTTGCCACAGCAGCCTTGAGATCAGCAGTGGCAGAGCATCTGTAGAAACTACCTTCAGGACTTCTACAAAGTCACAGCTGTGGCAGCCCCTGGTGTCCCCAAAGCATCCTGAAAATATAGGGTGGGAGACTCTATTCCCCACAGAATGCAGCAAAGCAGCTCAGGCAGAGGGGATCTCTGGCACAAAATTTGACACAGGGGCACAGACTGGCCTGGTGTCCTCTGTGCACCAACACCACTGTCCCTCTGAGCAGTCCAACCTGATGAAAGCTACATTAAAAGGGAAATGAAACAGGAGAGGATTCATCCTTGAGCTTTGGAAGGGGGCAGAGGCAAGCTCTCTTCATCAAAAGTAATAGTGTTGTTCTCACCCTATACTTAGGTGGCCAGGACATCTTCATGACAGAAGAACAGAAAAAGTATTATAATGCAATGAAAAAGCTGGGATCTAAGAAACCTCAAAAGCCAATCCCAAGGCCACTGGTAAGAGCAGCATAATTCAGTTGAACTTTGTGTAATAGCTGAATGTTTATTTACTGGAATAAGCACCATTCCACTCTCCAGCATAGGAAGATTTATTGCTCCCAGATGAAAGGCACTTAATAATTATGTGTTTTGATTTTTGATGATATTTGCAAGTCCAGTGACCTGTGGTACAAAATTCCCTCTTCTGCAGCATTGACTAACATTGCAATTTACATGTGCCATTTACATATGCCAGTGGCCACCTGCCTGTTCTGAATAAATTCATGGCCACAGTCCAGTGTCTTGTTTACAGCAGTTTCAAAAAGCATTAGGAGGAAATGGGTTTGAAAACTCCATCAAAAAAATACTCATCATCACTTTTAAGTTTATGAAGTTCCAGTCAGATGCAATATATTGTCTGTTTTCCTCTACATTCTGATCACTCAGGAGACAATTATATAATTTTTACACGGCTCAAATTTCCCAACTAAACCTTTTCTTTTCCCCCAGAACAAATACCAAGGTTTTATTTTTGATGTCGTCTCAAAACAAGCCTTCGATGTCTCCATCATGATTCTCATCTGCCTTAACATGGTTACCATGATGGTGGAAACAGATGACCAAAGTCAAGAAAAAGTGAACATCCTCCACAAAATCAACATGCTTTTTGTTGCCATCTTCACTGGGGAGTGCATCTTCAAAATGCTGGCTCTGCGACACTACTACTTCACCAACGGCTGGAACATTTTTGACTTTGTGGTTGTGATTCTGTCCATCGTAGGTAGGTGATCCTGGATTTTCACCCAGACTTCAAGGTTAGAAAGGCAGGAGTAAAATTAATTGGCAAAATTAATTTTGTGCAATAATATATGCTTTCAACTCAGAGAGTTGAATCCTAAACACAATTGTAATGTGTAATTATAACTAGCATACCACTGCCTAAGAAAAAGTGGTTTGATCAGAAAAATTAGGAGGTTTATCAAATGCTACATTTAATGGTGCCTGGTGATAAAACATGAACTGGCCACCACATACACTTAACACCAGTTCTGCATAGGAGCCAATGGCAGAGAAATAAAAGCCACATGAAAGTGGCACACTTGGAATGCTATTGCTTTGGTATTTGGTTTTTATTACAAAAGATTGAAATAATCCTTCAGGTCAGGTTTGGGCAGTGCAGTGAATCTGACTTTTCTCAGCTTTGTTACTAGAGCTCTGCACCCTGATACATCCAAGGGATTAAACAGAAAGACACAGTTTTATTGTTAACTTGTGCCATTTGCTGTTCTGGAGATGTATTTAGATACTAAAGAAGTGCAGGTCAAATGAATCTGAAATCCTAGAAAAAGAGTTTTCACTGAAGTCGGAAGAAGCAGCAACTGGAAGGTGATCACTGAGCCAGTGAGCAGAAGGAGCTCAGAAAGTCAACTCTTCTGGAAAAAAGTTTCCATTTTGAGGAAGGGAATAGGTGAATGAAAAAATGTTGTGCTAGGAAAACATCAGCTGGTGCTCCTGCTGCTCTGAACACCCTGCAGTGAACTGGGGAAGCTGCAAGATCCCAGTGCAGATCTCTGGTGCTCAGAGACCCACCTGTGCTTTGGGGGCATTGAACAGCCTGGATTTCACTGGTTTGGGTCAGCCAGGAACGTCACTGCCACACAGCTGTCACCAGAACCTTGGTGTCAGAAGCTCTGGATATGCCCATAGCTCATAGTTAACCAGAGCTGTCATGCTGCTCACAGTGCTGTCCCATGGCCAGCCAGGTTGTTTCCGTGTCAGAGGCCCATGCCAGTTTTCCTGTGGGAGAAAGGAGCTCAGCACAGCTCAGTGCAGCCAAGGACTTGGCATTAGACTTGCTGGACCAAGTGCTCTACTCCTGCAGGAAGTTTAGTACAGGGGTGAAAGCTCGTTTCCTTACTAGCACAGTCTTAGCCCTTAGTTCCCTCCCAGTTCATCAGGGAAACCGAAAAATTTATAAGCAAACAACCAACCAAGTGGATACACAGTAGAAACCTGCACTGTTCTGGTGGTAGCTAAAAAAAAAAAGAGGCCAAGCACATCAGCATTTCTGACTCATTATTTTACAGATAAAAATGTTGTCATATCAGACAAATTCTGACATCTGCACTCAAGACAAATTTCTTAGGTGGGTCATGGTCAAAAAGCTGCAGTTATCTGTGTCTTGACTTGATCTTGGTTTCTCATTACCAACAGAAAATCTTTCCCTTAATAAGACTGCTACTACCATTCTCTGCTTACAGTCTCACAAGTTCTTATGGATTAAATGGGCATGAAAAAGCAACAATGCCTTTCCCTTCATTGTGAGCCTTCCACTCTGGGCAACTTTCCATTTATTTTTTCAATAATCCTGACTGATTGCTTTAAAAGGAAAGCCTGGGATTATTTCCCATGTACTAACTTGCTGTCTGTCTCTTTTCTTTTCAAGGCACCGTACTTTCTGACATCATCCAGAAATATTTCTTCTCTCCCACACTCTTCAGAGTCATTCGTTTGGCTCGGATTGGCCGGATCCTGAGACTCATCCGGGGAGCCAAAGGAATTCGAACTCTCCTGTTTGCCTTAATGATGTCCCTTCCTGCTCTGTTCAACATTGGCCTCTTGCTTTTTCTGGTCATGTTCATTTATGCCATTTTTGGCATGGCTAACTTTGCCTATGTGAAGAAGGAGTATGGGATTGATGATATGTTCAACTTCCAAACCTTTGCTAACAGCATGCTCTGTCTCTTCCAAATCACCACGTCAGCTGGCTGGGATGGTCTTCTCAACCCCATTTTAAACACTGGACCACCGTATTGTGACCCAAACCTTCCCAATGCAAATGGTTCAAAGGGAGACTGCGGGAGCCCTGCCGTAGGGATTTTATTCTTTGTCACATATATCATTATATCATTTCTCATTGTTGTAAACATGTATATAGCCATTATTTTAGAGAACTTCAGTGTAGCCACTGAGGAAAGTACAGAGCCTCTAAGCGAGGATGATTTTGATATGTTCTATGAAATCTGGGAGAAGTTTGACCCTGAAGCCACTCAGTTTATTGAGTATTCTGCACTTTCAGACTTTGCAGACGCGCTGTCAGAACCTTTGCGCATAGCGAAACCAAACAAAATCAAACTCATAGCGATGGACCTGCCCATGGTCAGTGGAGACAGGATCCATTGCTTGGATATTTTGTTTGCTTTTACAAAAAGGGTGCTAGGAGAATCCGGAGAGATGGATGCCCTTAAAATACAGATGGAAGAGAAGTTCATGGCAGCCAATCCCTCCAAGATCTCCTACGAGCCGATTACAACGACGCTCAGGCGGAAACAAGAAGAGGTCTCCGCCATCGTCATCCAGAGGGCCTACAGGAGACATTTGTTCCGGCGCTCCATGAAGCAGGCATCCTACTTGTACCGGCACAGAACTTTGGAGAGCAGCATCCTGGAGGACGATGCGCCCGAGAAGGAGGGTCTCATTGCGTTCATGATGAACGAAAACTACGGCAGGCCCATAGACAAATCAGAAACTCTGTCCTCCACCTCTTTCCCTCCATCCTACGACAGCGTCACCAGAGGCACGAGTGAAAACCTCCAGCTGAAGATAACGGATGTGAGCAAAAGTGATGAGGCTATAGATTGTCTTCTCTCACCCGACAAGGATAAGGAATCAATTGTTTAAATGTTTGTTTAGAATGCTTTAAAACATTGTTTACAGAATGTAATGCTGTAACTACACAACGATTGAAGCAGCCTTCTTATTAAAAATTAGTTGCAAAAGAAACAGTGGAGTTTTTACCCTTAACTACAGGAGTCTAATAAGTCATATAACATTTGACCCTGCTCTTTTTGACTTGGCTCAATATTTATATTTATATATGCACAGGAAGATTCTCTGCAGGGTCATAGCTGTTATATCAATGGTGTGAATAAGAATAGGCTAGACTGTAAAACAGTAAACACAGTGTATATCTATCCACAGATAAAGCCTGGCTGTATACATTCATTTAAGGTCTTACTCGTATTAGTGTGTTTACTTATGGCAATGTATGACCTTGCATTCTAAAAAGAAAAAAAAAAATCACAGCTGCTGTAGCAAAATGTAACACTTACTGTATATGTTGTGAATGGTCTTTCATAAATTTATTATATTTGATATTTTTTTACTTAAAAAAAAATGAAGTCTCTTTTTCCATGGAGATTAATGATCCTTACACTCTTCATGATGAACTCTGAGTCAAGGTAATAGAAACTCGTGGGATCCCCATCACTTGAAGAGGAAAGTTGTTGCAAATTGAAGTATCAAGTTAGCAACATTTAAACTGTTGATTACACTAAGCCCTCCCTCTTGAGACTTGCAACTGCACATCAGCAGAAACACACACAAAAACAAAAACAAAAACAAGAAAAAAAAAAACAAAAACAAAACAAAACAAAACAAAAAACAACAAAAAAACAGAGAAGCAAATGATGTCAAAATAATGAGAGAAATGGTTTGTTCTATCCTTCAGGAAACTAGACTATAATGGATTCTGTTTGTAAAACTGTTAATAAAAGCACTAATTTTTTAGTATGTTTCAAGAATCTGCTTTGAAATCCGCAATCAAACTCGCCATAGAAGTAGCGCATCACGTTTGTGTGTAGTGATCCAAAGCACCATCTAGGCTGGCAAAGTTTCTGTTAAGGTAGTGGGATAGGTTACATTTTCCCCAGGAACACTGAGCTAAGCAGCCTTATTTGGAGCTCTGTGCATCAATATTACTCAAAAAAAAAAATAATTTTGAATACTACTAGTGGTAATAAATCAATGCCAACTGGGCTGTGCAGAATAGCTGTGACAGTGTGATCAAGAAGGTGGGAGGGGAATTACCTCTGGATTTGTACACGAATTTTGAGGGTTTGAATCCTTTCTACTCAAGGTCCATCTTTCATTTTCTCAGATAGTACAGTAAGATTTCTGGGGAAGGACAGGAAATACAGGAACTGATAAAAAAATCTACTAGATAATAGCTATATCCTCATTCCTGTAGGCAAAGTAATATTTACAGTTGATGTGTCCTTCAGCTTCAGGCCAAAGAAATGACAATGCGGTGAAAGGTGGATGTGTGGCTGTAGAAAAGTATTAGAGGTTTTTACATGGTAACATAGTTTATTATTTATTATCTTTCAGCCTCGATAGAATGTGAGAAATTATTTATGGAATATAGAGACATGTCCATCATTACAGACAAGTCCTTTCTTTTTCACCTTCAGACTGATTGTACTTGGGTTTGGTTGGACTTCATGGAAAATCTTGAGATTTCTGTAATGAGCCATTGCACTTTAAAGGAAGAGTAATTGTGCTTTTTCACCTTGGAGAAGCAAAGATATCAAGAATGTATTTAAGGTGTGTTGTCATTAACATTTAGTTACATCCCAGGTTGTGAAGGAGTCAAAAAACACGTGGGGTTGGCAACAAGAATTAAAGCAACACGTTACAGTCAAGTTTATCTATGGCCATTGTTATCTGTCCTCTAAACAAGTCAGAATATGTACGACAACGTGTCAAAAAGGATGACAATGTATCTGTGTAAATATGGGCTAATATATTCTCTCCATTCATTGAGAGGTGTCTCAGGCATTCACTTGAGAGTGGTCTATCAGTTAATTCAGAGGATTTGCCATCAGGATTCCTGGGGTCTATTCCTGATTCTTACTACATGATTTTTAGGCAAATAATTTAACCTATCTGTGCCTCAGTTTACCCATCTGTAAAATGGGAATAATAATACTTACCTACCTCACAGGGGTGTTGTAAGACTTTCTGATTGCAAAGTGCTATAAGGGAATGAACCATACTATATAAGTATTATTATAATCATGCTCTCTTGCCCTTTTAACCCCATGTCTATGGTGTATAATATAGGGCTGTTCCTCTGGGCATTTTGTTGCCTTTAAATCTTGTATGTAATTAGACTTAAGGGGACTACTCATCGTTCCTTGAAGTAAAAACATTCTTTATTCCTTCCCCCCTCCCCACTCCTCACCTCCCCCAAAAACTCAGAATTGCTCAAGGCTTCTCAAATTAGAGAAACTTTATATTCCCTGTGTATTTATGCTGTAATGTTATTCTGACTGTACATATCACCCAGAAAGAGTATGCGATTTTTATATTTATATGCATATATATATATACACACACACATACGTATATCTATACATATATATGTATCTTGTGAGTTTATAGAGTGGCTGACACTCGGAGGACACGACTTACTGATTAAAATGTTTTCTCCTCAATGGGATTTATCGATCATTAGCAACAAGCTGATGCCTATAATGAAACTGTTTAATTAGAAAATAGTACATTCATTACTTGCTGAACAAGCATTTATTGGCTGACAAGTAGCAAAATTATTTTCCTTTCAAAGCTTTAGAATAAAAAAAGAAAGAGGGAAAAATACTAAGAAAAAGGAGCATTTATCATGTGATTTCTTTTCATGTATGATGTAAACTGTCTGAAACCCAAGGAAAATGCCAGCCTGCACTCAGAAATGGGTTGTTGGTTATGCTGCTTTATTAACAATATTTTAATTATTTGCAGCTTATTTTAGAAAATATTCAACCGCTGTTCTTATTAAGAGAGTCAGGCCCAGTAATGAAAGGAATGTAAAGAGACAATTAGCTGGTCACTGATTTTATTAGAGAAGAGCCCTTCCTTTGGTTATTTCACCCTTGAGTTGAACATTTTAGTGTCATTGCTGTGAGACCCTATAGTACTGATGCAATTACAAATGGATTTTTTACCCAAAACCTCTATTAAAAAAAAAAAAAAAGAAAAAGTAATGCAAAAAAATCTGAAAAGAGGGTCTTAACTCTAGATGTTTACAGTGCAACTTTCTAAAACTGAATTGTAAATTGCTTTCAAAAACCTTTGTAACTGGAAGGTCGGTTTTCTATTGGGTTTTCTATTGTTCTGTGGTGTGTTTCTTTAGGGATGAAGAGGGAATGGTATCTTTGTATGGTATGCAGAACTCCCCTCAAAAATGTCAAATAAGCTCACTTGTAGATCTTTGTTACTGGAGATGCCGATCCGAATCGAGCCATGATGCAACCTCCCAGTGCAGTGATTTAGTTTAAGACACTAACTCAATAGTTGGCCCACACTGTCTATAAGCATGGTGAGTGCTACCATTTTTTCTGTTGATTTGTTCAATAAAGGCTACCACATGAATCACTCGAGCTACAACAAGAGCAAGGAAAATATCAGCCAATATCATAGGACATATTAAGCTGTTTGTACCTGGAAAAATTCAAGTTTATTATGTTTCTTTATTAAATAAATAAGGATAACAAATATTTCCTCTGCATATTTTTTTTTGTTATGTTGTCAACATTTATGTTATTATTTCTCTGACTCTTTTTCTATATATTTGTTTCGGAAATGCATGGTGACTTTTAGGAAGCTTGTTGAAGAAAACCCCTCCAGTTCACCTTACACTGGAAGGCAACCTACAGAGACTTAAAGGCTTCTTGAAATCAGTGCAGAATTTCTGGCTACATCAGATTAATTCAAAGCAGATTCAAAAGTCTCCCTTCAAACAGAATCATTTAGAGGATGAACCCAACACTGATATTTCAACCCATCCTGCCCAGTAGAATTAGCTGGAGGAGGAAAATTAGTTTGAACGGCAATGAAAAAATTCAGTCAGACCTTGGAATTAGTTTAATAAAAATCAGTTTATAATCATGTTTTGTATTAACCTGGGGCAGTCTGACTTGTGGAGAAGTGAGGTTTTTTTAATAATCATTTGCTAAAATATGTCATACAATAATTTGACTTCTGAGTCAATGTGTATAGAATGAATGTCTGAAATTCAGGAAGATATTTTTGGTTTGGAAGTAGCAGTTTGCTGAAATAAGAATTCTCCATGAAGATGTGTCAGCTTAGTTAAACAAATTCCTGGTTAGAATTTGTGGTCAAAATTCCCATGTAGAGGAAATTCAGTGTCATGATCCTCACCAGGAAGATTTTCACATCTAGATTTTACTATAATTGTCTAACTTCTGTAGATGTGTTCCCATCACTGTGCTATGGGCTGCTTTGGGTTACATAACTCTCCTTATTTTCATGCAGGTCTTGGGAAAGTTTCTGAAAGATTTAAGATTTTTTTTTTTTAATTTTCAGGATGAAATTTTAAAAACCCCAAAATTTGCCAATTGGATTTTTTGTTTTCCAGCCCTAGCAAGGAACTTGGAGGACTGTCTCCTCAGAAAGTGTGGATTTTTATACTTTTCTTTCTTAAACATGGAATTATTTGGGTCAGAATGAGCCTAAAACATCACTTAGTTCCAAATCTCTCCCTCTATGGGCAGGGACACCTTCCAGTTGCCCCAAGCCTGGTGCAATCTGGTCTTGAACTCTTCCAGGACAGGGCAGCAAAAACCTGTTCTGGTGTCTCATCACTCTCACAATGAATAATTTCTTCCTAATATCCAATTTAAATGTCGTGTAGCTACTCTCTTATAGCTTAACTACATTAATAAGTAAAATAAATTTGATTTTACAAAGCAGCAGATCTATGAAATCAAGCCTAGGTGCAATCTGTGAGGTTGGAGTCAGGGCCTGCAATTTCTAGATTAATTTTGAGATTTTCTTTTTCTTTAGTGGTTTCTGTTCATTTTTACTTTTGATGCAAATTGTCATAGTGTATATCAAGATCCCTTTGGAAAAAAGTCAGCATTAAGAGAGAGAGTTAACAGCAGCACAGGCAACCCAGTAAGTTTTCTCAGGAAAAGTCACATATTAGTAATTTGCTTGAGATTGAAAGAGGCTTTTTAAAGTCAGAAAACATTGCTGTAGGAAGGGGAGAAATAAAGAATAAATGCTCTGCAGTGCAAAGCCTCTGCTGGGCTCTAAAGGACGCCCATGTCGGATGGCAGTTGTGTTTCTGGCACCAGGAATGCAGTTTCCTGCTGTGTGCCAGGGGTGTGGAGACTGGAGCAGAGCTGGGTTTCTAACTGGAGAAAGCAGACAGGAGCAGAGCACAGGGAGAGGAAGCGCCGGACGCCCGCGGAGCGGCTGCTCCTTCGTGTCAATTCTCCCACCGAGCCGCCAAAGAGCGTCCAGGCTGGGCGAAGAACAAACATGGAAATCCTTCTGAGTGTTTACATGCTGCAAAGAAATAGCAGCCGTGTCAAAGGGAAAGCATGTGAAAGCAAATAGTCCTGGGGGAATAGCTATTGGCAGCCAGCAAAAAAATGCTTCGCAGTCAAACGTCACCGATAACCCCGCGAGGGCTGGAGGTGTTGGGCTGCAGCACAGGCATAGGTTTGTCAGCACCTCCTCCTGAGCTATTTTAGCCAGCTGACAAACAGGGCTTTGGGCAGCTCCTGGCCCACGTGCCTTTGCCATGGCAAAGTTTCTGAGACTGCTGCTGCAGTTGTTTTTTCCCTGGAATTTCATTGCTTCGCGTTGGGTTGTGAGTCCCAGCCGGGTCAGAGCATTAGAGGTGGTCCTTTCCCTAGAAAATAATTGCAGTCCTAGAAATCACTAAGCAGTGTTCAAACATCAGCAGAGTGGCTTAAATAGTTATTCTAAAGAATTGTCTCATCTTCTTCTCATTATTATTATTACTACTACCATTACTTTATTTTTAATACCCCCAAAATTTCAAGTTTATATGATCTGGCCATATTTTCAAGCTTTCTGTTTTTCTAACAGCTATGTTCATTAAAAAAAAAATGGGGTTTCAAGAGAAAAAAAGAAAAGACACAGACAATTATGATAAAACCATGCATGGTTCTGAAAGAAGTTTAAAGGTGACTTGAACTATGTTGCTCTACTTTAGAACCTCTGTGGCTTCTATGGAATCTCAGTTTTTCTAACACTAAGGGGAATTTAGCAATTCCCATAGGGAAGCCAGGTTTTTAACACCTTTTTTTATCTAGATAGACAGTCCCAGTTGCACAAGTTTGTCTTAATTCTCTTTCAAAACTTGCAGACCAAGCAAAAATTAAACAATTTTCATTTTTAGCTCAGGGACAAGCTGTATTCACTATAAGAATTGCTACAGAGGATACAAACCTGGAGTGACAGGGCTCAATGCAATATGGGACACTTCAGCCCTTGGTGGCAGGCTCCTCTTGTTCCAGTGCCTCACCACCCTCATGGTAAAAAATTTATTCCCTGTAATAGTCTGAATCCCTTATATTTTATTTCAGAACCATTACTCCTTGTCCTATCACAACAGAACTCCCTTAAAACATCCATATCCATCTTCCTTATAGGTCCCCTTTAAGTCATCAAAAGAGCCACCACTTGCAGCCACAGCCATGCTAAACCTTAAATAGGAGAGGACATCACCTCCCCCTGTCCTTGCCTTACCCCACAGGCCAGACAAGGCAGAGAAAGAGCTTCAATCAAATCCCTTTCTTTACTACAGGAGTGGGGACTGAAGGGATGCTCTGAGGCTTGGCTGGGTCTGTTGCTGTCTGGATTTGCTGGCAGGTTTGCTGGAAAACCTTTGATGCAGGCAGAAGAGAAGGTCCTCCTTGTGAGGAAGTGGGATGCTGTGGTTTGAGGTGGATTGCCCTGGATGTTGCAGGAGGAGGTTTGAGCACTGTGCTGCACGTGTGCAGGGTCTTCTCTAAAGCCTGCGGTTGCAATGGGGTAAAGAGAGTTGAAATGGGGTAAAGATAATTGAAATGTGGTAAAAATAGCTGTTTCTTCTGTACATTAGGAGAAGGAGCTTCTCTACCCCTGGCAGGGAAGATACCAGCCCTCAAAGTAGGTATGAGGCACCAGCAGGTGCCTCTCAGGACCTACCTGGCCACTACTGTAACAATTATAGTCACAGGGTCCATACAGCTCTGCCTGAGTCTCTCCCTTGGCCTATTTCTGTCTAGTTTGGTTGAGGGATGGAAATCTCAGATATAAATTAATTCCTATGACTTCTTCAAAAATGATCAACTGAGGAGGATGTGAAAATCTGGCAAGCAGGAAAGGTTGTAAAAAGAGGTCATGTCTTAAGGAAAGATAAAACATTTTCACACAGAGGCACAGGTAGGTCATATATATGCCTCACACAGGCAGGTCATATAAATGCCTCATATTGTAGGGGGAACAATTAATTTGCATTTGTTTTGCCACCAAGGACCAGCAATTCCATGGCACAAAACACAGAAAAACAGATGGTTTTAGTTCTGGTGCCCTGAGCTTTGTTTGGATTGCCTCCATTATCCAATGGGAAGGTACTTGAGATGGAAGGTATTTTACTTTGTGTTTTCCAGGAGGAGGACCTTAGAGGTAAGATCCTCCCTGTACCTCTCTCCACAGCTGTACAGATGTGAAGTGCTTCTCAGAAAAAGTTGGAGAAAATAATGGGAGAAGCAAGGTGGTCTTGTATTTGTGAGGTTCCCAGAAGAAGAAAGGAAATGATGAATCTGACTCCATGTTCTTAGAAAGCTAATTTATTATTTTATGATCTATATTATATTAAAGAATGCTATACTAAAACTTTATTAAAGAATACTAAAGAATACAGAAAGGACACAGAAAGAAGGCTACAAAGATAAAAATTAAAAACTCATGACTCTCTCCAGAGCCTCAACACAGTTTGGCCATAATTGGCTAATAAGTAAAAACAATTCACATGCAACCAATGAAACAATCACCTGTTGGTAAACAATGTCCAAACACATTCCACAGCAGCAAAACACAGGAGAAGCAAATGAGATAAAAAGTTGTTTTCCTTTTTCTTTGAGGCTTCTCAGCTTCCCAGGAGAAAATCCTGGCGAAGGAATTTTTCAGAAAATATGACAGTGACAAGTTGGGGATTAGAAGTTTGCAAGCACCTTGATTTGCTTTAGAAGCAGCTGCTGAATAGTGTGGTGGGCAGGTGAAGGGGGGAGCTCAGTGGTGATGGCACTGGCATAAATCTCTCACAGTAGGTGACAGTCACCTGGGTAGCATCAGCAGTGATGCAGCTTGTGAGCAGCTCCGGGCTGCGTGCAGCGCCACGACGGACACCTCTGTGTGTGCTCAGCACAGATAACTGCTTATCTGCAGGCCTGCTGCTCCAGGAATCATTTATCTCCACAGAAATGCTGCAGGGCTGAGCTGGGCAAGCTCTGCAGCCCCAGGGTTTCGCTGCACTCTCCTCTCCAGGCAGCCAGAAGGTGCAGAGGGCAGCAATCTCTGTGTGCTCCTCTCAGTGGGGCTCCAGTGGTCGGATTCACCTCCCAGAAAGTTCATCACAAAGTGCTGTGATACAGTGAGTCAAAAGAAAATATGTGGTTGGCTAGAAAATATATCCACTGGAAATAAGATTTCGTTATTTGTTTTTTAAAACTGATGG